CCTATACAAGAATGAAGTTCTGTAGTTCTGTGGATTAAGGTTTTTGAGTTCTATGGTTTCCCTTTTGTGTATGTGTATCGTGGTCTTCTGAATATCTTTTGTCAATGTCAATTATTGTCAATATTGTCAATGTCATGCTCTTTCAAAATTTCAAGTGTAACGTATTTTGCTGATTCTCTTTGGTTAGTTTGAGGGAAGATAAAAAATAAAATTTATCTGATTTCGTAGGTAATTTCTTCTGATTAAGAACTGTGATTGACCAAGAAGGTAATTCATTACATTACTGACGAATTCACGTTGCATTCTTTTCTAAAATTTCGATTACATTCATAATATCCATGATTGTGATTGTGTATAACCACTGTATAACCAATAATTATTTTGGCATCATCAGTAGTTTAAATTCATCTGCTCATATCATTCACATAATCAACAATTGAAGTCGAAGGTTCCATTGTTTTTCAATTGCAATTTTGTTGCTTAACTTTTCTGCTTTGAGTACATGTTCTTTCAATAATTCTGCTTAACTTTTTCTTATAAACAATGTTTTTCCAGCTATTGGATATGGAGCCGAAGGACCAGGTCATCAACTTGTGTACCTCTGATGATGTGTCTGGAAAGTTGATAAACAAAGTAAGTGAACATCAAAGTAAAAAGTTTGTTTGTTATGTAATGGGGAATTTATAATATATACCTAATGCTAATGTCAAGTTCCCTGCCAAGTAGCATTGCCATTTAATTTATTGAAAAGTTGATAGGAGGAAAAACTTTATACAGTTGTATTCAATAAAAAAAGCCTACAAGTATTAGATAAATTAAAACAGGCTCTTGGGAATGATTACCAAATGTTGACAGTTGTTGTAGGTTGTCTGAGCTGAGCCAGTTTTACACAAATAGAACTAGGATTTCATGAACCTCTATTTCTGATACTTTCAAGCTTTTTTATTGAATAAAAAACACAATTTTACCTTTTTCCTTATTTTCAATGTGAAATTTTGTTCATCATAATTATATTCCCAGACATCATGGATATTCATGATGGATATTCCAGACTTCCATAAGATATTCCAATAGAGATGAAAAATATATTATATGGATGACCAAGAGATATCTGACAGTCACAAAATTTCAATTATTCAACCAGCTTACCCTCTGGTTCAACTAACCAATGTTTATTTCCTAAAATCATTACAAATATTCAGATATGCATTAATTGAAGAACCATTTGGAGTCAACTGAACTCTTGATGAGTTCATCAGTGCCCTATTTTGTCATTCAATTTCTATATCCAAATTATGTTAGTGAATAATAGTATCAAATATTTTCCAGGCACTATCTGTCTTTTGGAAGGGGCAGTTGACCCATCATCATTCTGATTTTTTCTATGAACTGCCAATGTGATTTTTTTTAAATTTTTATCACGAAAAATGTATGCATTAGCCCTTGATTTTTGAGTAAAAACCTTTCACTTTGTCCTGTAGTTATAGGTTTTTATTCTCAATTTAAAAAAGTGGGTCAAATTTCAGGGTGGTGGAAAACATAATAGATTAAGTCATATAAATATTCATCACAAACATTCATCTCAATTTCATAAAAACATATAAGAGCTCTTTTGTTTATTGTTTGTTTCAAGTTCTAGCAGCTTTCTTAGGTACATACATTCATTTTTATTTCTACTTTCTTCTGTCATTCTAAAAATAATTTCAAATAGCCGGGATGACAGAGCATATGTTATATGTTCTATTCTTATATATACTCTGTTTAAACCGGAAGTCTCCAATATTATGAGGTATGTACAAATAAAAAACTGAGTGAAAAACTTACACTTACAGAAATACTCCACTATGCTGCAGACAGGCCCAAATTTACCTGTGAACTTTAATCTATGCTTGTTTTATACTATTTAGAATATGTCAACAATGAAAATATCTATAATTTTTTATCCAAACAGTATGTCACATAGGGTTTTCAGATCTCATATATTTGGTTTGATAGTTTTGATACTCCTATATTTCTATCAAATTTCGTGAAATTCTTATATATTCTAGACATATTGCATCATAATTGGTTGTACAGTAATTTATTTCTAAACTTCAAAACATAGATGTGTGGTGATTGGTAATTTTTTTTTACCTTGACCCATAGAGAAAAGTAATAATTAAAACCTAAGAATATCTACATATGATTAATATCAGTGACATGATCATGGGGAAGGTCTGGATACCCCAATGGAGCTTGGAAAATGTTTGAATGTTCCATGAAATTGTTGGGTGGTCAATTGGTGTCTTTTTAAGTATATTTCAGTTAGGGATCGACCGATACCGATATCGGTATCGGTATATCGGCCATATCGGCGTGTTTGGCCGATATCGGTGTGTTTGGCCGATATCGGTATCGGCCGATATGAAGACGCAGTATCGGCCTATATCGGTATCGGCTTAGTTATAATAAAATGAAATAAAATAGTCTTTTTATCTGAAAAAAAAAAAACACAAAAATAAACATTATTCCAAATTTTTTGCGATTTTCTCTCGTTTCTATAAAATAAAAATATGAATATTATTTCAATATACCTGTAGTAACGACAAATCAGATGATTTGCCCCAAAATGTCACTGTGTTTAAAGAATTTTCCTATCAGAGAGCCTAAAAGAAAAATTCACTAGCTTGTCAGTGACAATTTGTATTGAAAAACGTTTGAAGAGAAATAAAGGTATATAGAAAAAATATCAAATTTTCACTTATCTTTGGACGTTTCGGGACCGATTCTGCTCCCGTTTTCAACATAAAAAAGATTATTTTAATAGCAAAGTCGTATTTGTCTTGAAGCTTTTCAGTTTTCATTGACAATTGGTGACGTTGGCAATCAAATGAGTTACAGGATGTTTTCATTAATTAATCTTGAATTTCCAGCTGAAGAAAATAGCTGTTCGCTCCCTACACTACTGGGTGGGGGTGCTAAATATATAATTGCACATTTATACAATAGTGAAAACTTATTTTTCTCTTTTTCCCACCACGTCAAAGGATCTTCATTTTTTAAATATTTGTTACTTTTATATACATCGAGATATACATTTTATATTCTTCTTTAATATCGGATTTTTTAGTTAGTATATGTTGGCGATTTTGTTCCTTGACTGATAAGTTCCTCAAAGGTATTCCAAAACAAGCTATGAGCATCATCAGTGTTGGAAGTTTCTTGCTGAGCATCTTGAGACTTCTTGGCAGTTTTTGCTAGTGTCAATGTCAATAGAAAAATAATACACAAAACATTATTTAAAATTTACGCATAGTTTTCCCTTTGGTTTTCCACCATTTTAAATATATTTTTCAAGGGAAAAACAATACTTGAAATTTTTGGCCGATATATCGGCCATGTCTATATCGGTATCGGCCGATATAGGTATCGGCCTCAAAAAATCATATCGGTCGATCCCTAATTTCAGTTATGCACATTTAAATTGAATTTAATTCTGTGCACGTGGCGTACATTCCTTGCTCCAGGCGCTCCAACTGACTCTGGATAGACTATGTGTGAATTTTTTCATCACAAAGTAAATAAAGCGAAATAAAGTTACTTTGGGCGCAGACAAAAAATTTTCTAATTCCAAATTCAATGATAATAATATATTATTATGCTCTACGATATTTGTGAATTGTTATTGCCGCCGATTTTACCTGATTATACAGGGTGTCCCAGAATAACGTTCGTATACTCCGGGAGGTAATTCTGCAGAAAAAAAGTCTTCAATGAGGCTAACATTTTCACTCTCACCAGTTGGTGTTACTAAAACGTGAGGTCAGTGTCAAAGTCGAAAATCCCCAAGTTTTGCCCAATAACCCTGAAAGCTATGGCCTGTTTTACCGAAAATATTCGAAAAAAATTATGTAGAATAATTGAACAAACAGAAAACCTCACGTTAATGAAAGACGTGAGCCGTCTTAAGTTTTTTTACTCTCAATGTGGAACTTAATGATCAATTACGAAATTTGGTACCTGAAGGTGATTCGATATTACAAATCGTAGTGTGGTACGGAAAACATGATTTAATATACAGGAAGGTAGGAATCTCTTAACCGATGCTACAAAGTCAACAAATAGGTAAAGAAATGTCTGCTTCTGGGCAACAGGGAACAAAATAAGGAATTATTAATACAAAGAAAAAGTGAAACTGATGATATTTCTTCTTTGGGATGATGGCTAAAACTAGGTCGAAAAACATTCAAATCACTTTGTATAATACATGGTTGTATTCAGATCGAAAGCTTTCAGAATCTGTGGAAACATAATCAGAGCCGTATTAAATGAAAAAGTTGACCATGTTAAATCTTATCAAAAGTTGCTATACAAAATTATTCTCACTGTTTCTGTATCTCCAATAATAACGTAGAAATAAAATTCAAAAATCCGATTCGGCGCCAATAAGAAAAAACAAAGTTGAGTGTTGTAACTTGGGCATCCAGAACGTCATGGAAAATACGATGACAGATTCAGATTCCTTGTAAAAAAGTGCCGCAAGAATGTCCTAGTCAGAAACGTTTAGGTCTCTTGGTTTTCGCTTGAAGAAATAAAAAGGAAAATTACAAATTTTCGTTTTCTTCGAATAATTCAGAAACTAAATATAACACATCGAATTTTCTTGAAGATAAATGTTCCCTCGTATCTCTTATGATAACTGAGATCCTCATGGTGAAGCTCGAAAATCGAGCACCCTGTATAAAAGCAACCTGAACAGTCGTCACCCTATGAAAATGGCATTTGAAGAGGGTTTTTTGTAAATCACCGATTTCGAAGTTCTTACCGTTGCATATATTATAATGGATATAAAGAGTGAATATCACTTGAATATTCGAAAATTTATTTGAATGTATATTTTCAAACCCAGACTGGATACAAAATTTGTCCTGGTGACTGTAATTCTGATTGACTCCCTCGGTTTTAAATTAAGCTATTCAGTTTTTATGTGTATAAATAGATGAGCGTAGCTCCAAAATCCTGTTCAATAAGTTGACTTTGTGTATTCCAACATTCTCATTACCACAGTTGAAAGGGTCTAGTTTATAATTTACTATAAATATACCTAATTTCGATGACCAGTGAAAAAATATGCGATTCAAAAGTATATTGACAGTATTCGGCGTCGGATATTATTAGTTTGTTTTGCTGTATGTTAGCCAAAAAATTGAGTGAGTTAAGTTTTCTGTGATACACATATGATGAACTTTGTGACAAATATCATCAAAAAATATATTCAGGTATGCATGTTCCCTAGAAAATAATGTCCAATGTCTCCAAATTAATTAGTTTTGTCTGAGAAAGTGAAACTCAGATTTAAACGGTTTTTGTTTTCCCGATCTCTTTGTCCAATTCACATGATTGTTCTGCTCCTTGAATCGAATGATACTCCGAGAATCTATATAGGTTTTATTGAAAATATAACCATTTTATAATAATAAGTGTATTTTGTGTGATGAAAAAGCATTAATCACTGTACTTACTTAGTCATGGTGTATTTAAAAAACAAACACTGATTTCTTATGATTTTGTTTTTTTTTTTCATTATAAATTTACAATAATGAACCTCTAGGTATAATAATACAGGGTTAGACAGAGGTTCTGGAACGAAATATGAAAGAAGTTCATGTGAACATGGGACAGAAAATATTTCGTTTCCGAGAAACAGGGTGGCTTCAGCCGATTTTAGTGAAATTGTATCGGCCTATTTAATCAATTATTCGCAATTAGATTTGATTCAGAGCTAACAGCGGCAGCGATTAGGAAAATTATCATCCTGTAGTTTTCTCTTGCGGTATTCATCAATTACTCGAATGGATTGGAAATATCCAGAAATGTATGGCAATATTATAATATTGAAAAGAATAACAGTGGTTCTCATTATTGTTGTATATTTTTCTTCCCAATTATTATAGGAATTTGAAATTTACTTCAAATTACAAGGTGCTTCAAGTGGAATAGTGTATCTTTTGAAAGGTTATACAATTCCGTTGTTTGTTTCAATAAACCAAAAACGCAGTGTTAGGATCATATAACCTTTTGAGGAACATTTTCAAAATACCTATGTCAAACATTAACTTTTCTTTAGATACCGGGTGACCAGTTATATTCTGACCCATTTCAAATGCTCATATCTCTGAAAGTTCAAGTTTTTTTTTGACGTGTTTATCTTCTCACTTGAACTTCCGGTTCTACTGGAAACAAACAAGCAATAATCCAGGTATAGGGCAACTTTTTTATTTCATTGAATCACCCTATATATTTTTGCACATTCAGAAAGACTGGTCTTTTCTCTATCTAACAATGTATTACAAGTTATGTTCTCCTAGAAAACTATTGGAGTGATAACTCTCTGAAACAACTACTGCTTGTGGAATGGTTTAATGAGATTATGCAATGTTATCAAAAGTTGCCCTATACCTGAATAATGGCTTGTTTGTTTCCGGTAGAACCGGAAGTTTAGGTGAAAAGGTGAACCAGTCAAGAAACTTGAAGAATATCAAAATAGAGAAGTCCAAACCGCACAACGATAATTTGAATAGTTTCACAGATATGAGCAGTTGAAATGGGTCAGAATATAACTGGTCACTTGGTACTTCCACGGGAAATGTTCTTAAGAAATCTCTGCTATCGTTCCATCACTATAGCAATACCAGTCAAAAGAACTCGACAAGCCCATACAGTACATCCTTTCGTTGTCAACGACTTTAAAAAATCTCATTTGTCTATAGATCGGCAAAGCCTTGGAATTCTTTGACAAAGGAACTATTACTTAGAACTTAAGTTCAAAAAACTCCATTATCCACCTCCAAATTATTAGGTAGGTTCCTCGAACATTTTAGGGATAAAAAGAGATAAAAAAATATTGAATAATATTACCGGGCAGTTACCGGGTGTGTCCGCGAAAACTTGGCAATGGCCATGTTCATACCATATGGATACTTGGATAGTTGGTATGCTTACCAAGGAGATCTAACTAAATTCAGACCAAATGTCTTACTTAACGCATGTTTATACCATGTATCTTCAGTTGACTAACGTTACCAACTTTGTTTTGATTTGATTATTTTTTTGAGGTTAGCTTGTGGAACTCCACTTGAATTCGTAAATTAAGAAAACCTTTATGGTATACGAAATATTATTATGAGAGTGAAATAACTACCACTTGCACTTAAGTCAAGTCAAGGCTATACAAAAGTAGACCTTCCCGTTATTTACATAATACATTTCAAATCCAAGGCTGTTCATTATTAGTACTTAAAAGGATTGTACTAATGTGCCATCTGCCATGAACATTAGGGTGGAGTGAAATTATATGTGTCGAAAAAAATTCGTTTTTCAAAACGGAATAGCTGCAGAAACATGCTCCACTACTTAACTAAGACCTATGAGAAAGATGGTTTCTCTAAAATTATATTTTGAGGTGCCCTCAGGATTTGTAAAATAAAAAAAATCGAAAATCATGAAAAAAATTAGTTTTTCAAAACGGAATAGCTGCAAAAACCTGCTAGTAGTGGAGCAGGCCTCCGAATAACATCCGTTAGTTCCATAATACATTCCGAATTCAACTATTCATTAGGTCTGTATGGTACTGTAGAAGTATACGAGTAGACATTTATTAGTAAATCAAACTGAAATACCTAAATACTTCCGTTTCCTTTCTAAATGATTTTCGGTTCATACAGGGTGTCCCGCAATTACATAGAAAGATTTCGACCACATATTCTAGGAACAAAAATAATAAAAAAAGTTCATATAAACATGGGCCCAGAATTGCCCCCCTTAGGGGTTATAGCCATCTGAAGGAGTGTCCGAGATGATGATTTTTTGTAAATATTTTCGAAACTGCAAAATATGGAAAACTCGACATTTTCACTTGAAAAAGGTACTCTTGTTTAGTTTCAAAAGGACTCACCATTTTCGAGATAAATCGATTTTCTTATAATAGGGTACCGAATTTTCCCAAAAATTATGTTTTCATGGAAATTAGACTTTTTTCAACATCTACTTGTGATGTTTTATTCAAAACATGGGTTGAACAATAAAAAGAATACATTAAAAAATAATATGGTAGGTGCCCTTTTACGAAAAAGGTCTATTTTTATTACGCAGCAGACTTTTAAAATCGATTTCTGTCGAAAATGGTGAGAGCTATCGAATCTGAACAAGTGTATCATTTTTTTGTTCCTAGAATCTGTTGTTAAAATCTTTCTCTGTAATTCCGGGACATTCTGTATATGAACTTTTTCATTAAGAATAATCCATTCTGTAACCAATCTTCCCGATAATATCTACCAAATCCTCCTGAGATACCCTGTAGATGCATAAAGCGTTATCATTTTTTTTTAGAATGAAGGAGTTGAAACTCATGTCACATCGCCAACTATTGATAAGGAAATTGATCTCCCACATCCAGAATGTAATGGTAAGCAAATTGAATTTAATATTTTATCGTTTATATCAGAATGATAACTTTTTCCCATTTCATCATGCGTTCAATGCGGTTCAATTGCAGGATTTCAGGTTAGTAATCTCTAATAAACAATTATCACATAAAAAAGGTGCTTAGGAATTCTGTTGTGACAAATTCTTATGAGCCATCCTTGTATATTTTATAACTATTGATAATTCGAGTGACGTCATCAAACTTATCGATGAGGTTGTCTCAGTTTAGGCATCGTCTTTCCTACATCCAGTCAATGACTCACAGCGTTGCCAGCGCTTCATCGTATAAAATGCATAGGTATAGTTTTCTCTCAAATTTTTAAAATGCATTATAAATAATAGTAGTTCAGCAAAATAATCAAGCAAGATGTATGTAATGTAATGAATTTCCATTAAGTATGTTTTATGTTTGAAAGTAATATTTACTCAAGTTATTTTTCCAGGAAGGAAATTTTACATTCTCATTCATTATTGATAAGTAGGTACAGGGGCGGCGAGTTTTGTTTTGTCCAATGGGGGCCAAAATTGAGGGGTTAGGGTAAGACAAAATTATGCGCCGCAGGCGAAAATTTTTTATGGTTCAAGGTCAAATGCCATCAAATTTCAAGATAGATCAAAGCATTATTTATTTTGCATCAAGTATGAATCACCTCTACCAAAATATAATATTTTGTGACTAATCGGGTTTCGAGTTTATGGTTGATATATTAATATGAACAAGGATGAGAAATAGAAGAATTTTTTTTTCACCATTGAAAAAAGTGAACATAACTCAAAATTTAAAACGATATTAGAAAATTCAATCTCTACAAAAATAAAATAAGATTTGTAATTCTCATATCCATTCAGTATTCAAAAAATGGAATAGAGAAACTTTGGGATTCGAAAAAATTATAGCAAGTAACCCCAGTCAATTTATTGCAAAGGTATTCCTACTGACTGTATTATCAATGGATTCATTAGCCACTTCTATTTTTTTCCAAACTGGCACTTGTAACCTGTGATGTCATAATGTCTAAAATTTAAATCGGAATATCTTTGCACAGTGCACAGTGTCAAACCCTGGATGCACATGAATCGAATATACGGTTCGCATGGTTGTTTACCTATACTTGTCCAGCAACAATGTGCAATATTGACAAGTGCTCATTTGGCCCGTATCTAATTTGTTTTTTATACATCTGTTTCGGCCAATGGGTGCATTGCACCCATACCCACTGCCTACATGGGTGCATTGGCCCCGATGCCCCCATGCACTCGCCGCCCCTGAGTAGGTATATTTACGTTTCTTTATTTTGTTTTTCTATGCACAATGATTGAAATGTTGAAAATTGCCAGGGTGTATTTTACAGACGCTACTTTCACTTGCGTATTTTTTCAATATTCGAATGCAAATTTTCCGTTTACAAATTATTTACGGAACTAAAACATTTCCTACTGAGATGTTAGGTCAGTTTGAGTAATATTCAGGGTGAGATTGAATAAAGCATTAATAGCAGATAGTTTACGTATAAAATGCATTTGGCAACAGTGTTCATGGTCAACCAGTGATTCAGAATATCCAAATATGACTCTTCTGTACCTCTATTTAATCTCTATCAACTAACAAGGTTTTGTGCAAGAAAAGGTTTGTAAATTATTGATATCTATCCCAAATAAGATATATACAATACAAATGAACTTATAATATTGATAGCTGATAGCTGGTACACCTTCAAATATACTATTTTTTTCTATATTTTCAAAGAGAATAAGGTTAGTTATTCTTATAAAAAATATGACACCTTTCTTGATGTTGACAGTCTACTTTCCCAAAAAATTACATATTGTGCCACAATATCATTGCTATAATTATTAATTGTCATTTGATGCAATTGCACCTGTTCATAATGTAACTATAATCTACAAATTAATTTTCGTTCCATATGTTCTTTTTAGAAAATCATTATAACCCTGACCAATTTCAATATTTATTCATTCTATTCTAGGGCTGTTGGGAGATAATCAATCAAAAAAAGTTAATCTGAGAGTGTCTTTCCTCAGAGAATTCGACCCCTTGTATCAGAGGTAATTTTTTATTTTCATCAGATATTTCTATGGTGTATGGTATTTTTTTAATAATTATTTTCAGCCCTATAAAGGAAAGACTACAGTCAGATAATATAATCTACGATGAGGATGAGGACTCGGAAAAAGTAAATTGATAAGAGGTAGTTCCTCATTTTTTGTACTATTTATTCATTTTTAATTTCAGGTCACATTGAAAGATAGAGATGGAACCTTATTAGTTTCACCACGAGGTAACTCTACCCAAAACTTACTAGAAATTTCAGGATACAAGGTCCATCAGGTGGATCTGTCAGAAACCGAAGTGAGTTGATTCTGAAATGATCATCTTGATCAATCATTATTCCAGTTTTTTGGGATTTTTGAGGACAAATCATGATTTTCCAAATGTCACTGTGTTTAAAAATGTTCCTATCAGAGAGCCTAAAATTGAACCCTTATATTCTAAGCTACTAATAGGTGCTGCAAAACTTCTACATCTTGTTTCTTATAGTTTTTTGTCATGTAAAAAAATGTTTATTCTGCAATTATGAGAAAATGAGATGATTTTTTTTTAATTCATGCAAGAATACTTACACCTCAATAATTTCAGAAAATGAGTTTCTCAAAAGTAGATACCTGCCTAAAAATGGCTGCAAGAATGCTGCAAGTATGGGATTATTTACGATCCCCCCCTGTTTTTATTAGTGGACTGTAATGTCTTTTTTGTATTAGCTACTTAAAGCTTACTGGATTGAATAGCTACTTACTAAAAGCTTGATTTATATCACTCAGCTACTGAAAGCTTATTTGAATGAAATAGCTACCGAAAGCTTAATAAGTCTTTATTGACTATTTACAACACATAACTGTGATCAGTATAAAAATGGTACAAGAAATGTCACAAGAGCAGATGAAGAAAAACACTGCCTCTCTTGTTGACTCCTCAATCTGTTCTCCCTTCTTGCTTCTGGCGTCTGGTACTCGACCACTTCCCCTCATTGGCGCCAGGTACTTTCATCACAATCTCGTCCGAAAAGTTGCATAATGATAGTATGGTAGATAGTCTAAAATGCGGTGTTGCCGATTTCACTCGAAAGTCTGAGTTAATGGAAAATATAAGTACATTTCGTTGTAGAACTCACAACACCCCCATATATTATTTCAAATGTTAGTACAATAAGTAGTGTTGAATAACGATGAGTGTGGAGAAGATATAACAGGAAGGGCAATTATCGAATATCGCGTTCAAAAAAGTTGATTTGTTCAAATGACACTATTTCTTTTTGTTTCCTTCACCTGAACCCAGCGGAGCTGACCCAACAGTTTTCCAGAGACACAACTGCAGTGGTAATTATCATTCAAAAAAATTGGCACTCTGGGATATGTTGGTATAACTTAGTTTGTTTAAACATCATATATGTGAAATAATTAGGTTTCCATACAAAAATCAGAAAGTTGGTACCTTCTTTAACCCACCCTGTATAGCTGTGTTAATATGAGCCCTATCTTAAATGTCTTTCGTATTTTTCCAATTTCAAAACTTGACGCTCATTGACGAATGAATCCTTTTGTAGATAAAAATGTCCAGTTCATTATTCATGTCGTTCATTATATATTATGGAGATTGACAAATCTTCCTTGCAAAAATTCAACCAGTCTCAGTCAGTTGTCAGGTTATTCTGTTGAATTTCAAATCAGGTTTGTGTACTTATTTGATGAAATAATTTCATCTATGAAAGCTTTTTCCTATTCAATTGATATTCAGATACTTGGTATATCCATAATCCTAAAAAAATAATGATGAAAAACTATATTTCTTCACAACATGAAAATGCATCTATTGTTGGATTTCGATGATATTTGAACATTATCAAATCAACACTATTTTTATCATCTTTCAGGCCTTTGATACCCCCTTAACTTCACCTCGAAGTGAAGGTAATTCAACTCAAGTGAGTAACATCATGTACTAGGGTCATAATAGCTGTTGCATAGATTATCAGTTCACAGGAAACATCCTTCGAGAACCCTGTGACATCACTTCCGCAGAGCTCGGGAGAAGAAACCTCCCTATCACCAGGCCGTGATATACCGAATTTGGTGGAAAAAGAAACAGAATTGAACATAACTAATCCAATTTCGGTTCCATCCATTCAGGTCACAGCAACAACACAATCATTGAATAATTCTCTTGATGATACAGAGGCATGTATTGGTGATATTCCGGTGAGTTATCTGCATTATCTGATGAAATATGTAATAGGTTTTTTAACTTGAGCTGAGACGGGTTTTTAGTGGAATAGGTCGAGCTTAAATGAATATAACAATGAGGAAGCTGGAACCGTGGCTTCAATCATCCACTTGGTACTTCGGCTATTACGGAAACAGCGAATCTCAAATCAATTCATAATTAAAAAAGAATAGTGTATACATGTTACAGTACAATAATTCCCCTACAGGGGCAAAAAACTGACCAAACCTAAGTATTGCCCGAGGTATTGCCTTTACATCGCCGATTCGGACCCAACGTTAACTTAAATACACCTGACAAGGGAAAAGATTTCAAACACCCAGTTTCCGCGCGCCAAATTCGAATCAAATAAAGTGATTGATATATCGCCGACAGTTCGCCACGGACGGGAGCCAAGGCTGAGCAGTTTAAGAATCTTGGGCGAGAGATATAGCAACATGGCAGCTCTGGACTGGCAACACTGTCACATGACATGGAGCCAATCATGATGGAAATACAATATGGTGTGCTACGACGCATCTAAGTATACGTAACTGTGATAGACTCGCAATGACGATGTACGGAGAAAAGACGAATTCAAGATACGTGAGTAGCACACCATATTATATTTCCACCATGGAGCCAATGATCTAACAATGTAGGCACAGGGTGTAATTTAATTGATGAACATATGAACATATGCTTTAAACCTCTTAACTTTCGAGCTATAGGGTGTTGAAATTCAAAGAAAAAAATTGTTTTCTCAGTCCATGATCAAACTCTAGAACTCCTACACGGGGGTAAGTGATGGTATTGAACTAGACGCACCAAGGTGTAGCTTTACCTCCTCAATTCATAACATGAAGCAAAAAAACTGAGTCCTTAGAGGCCGAACCAAAAGGGGACTTCTCCTATTGCTAAAGAATGAGAAGAAAAAGGTCGTCCCGACTTGACCTACAAAATTACAGCTGTCAGGTTTGCATTAACCTCAATACTGAAAGAATATAAACAACGAATTATTTACAGTTGACGAAATCATCTCCCACGCTATCGATTACGATAGTCCAGCTCAAATTTGATGCTGTTCTTGGTTTTAAATTTATTAGAATTCCTTGAAACTTCTCCTGTTCCAATAAAAACAATAGTACCTATTTCAGACATTGAGGGTGTGAGTATTATTTCAATAATGTATCCTTTGATCTTGAACTCATAGATGGTGAAATCATGACAAAATCCTCATACACCAAGTGATTTTTAAGTGCATCAATTAATTACATTTGGAATAAACTTCAACAGAAAATTCAAATAATTCAACCTAAGATGTAAATTCAGAAAATGTTCACTTGTTTGTGAATGTTGACCTGTCTACATTTTAAAATGAGCACATTTTCCCATCCTCATTCCTTGAATATGTTATACGAGCTGCAAAAACAACTTTGAGTTTCTGATTTCTTATTGATTTTCAATATATTAAATATATGTACATCAAAACGTTCCCACAAAGTTCGCCATTTCCCCATGATATAGGTATTGCAATAACCTCAACTTTCAAAATCCTCAAGAGGCCAATCCAAACGATTCTAGCCTACAGTATGCCACAATATATCCCTAAATTCCTACCATACATCCATTGAGGGAAGAAATACGCAGAAATAATACTTAACCAAGTAAATGAAGAAACCCTCAAAGACCAATAAACACTATTCTGATAACCTTGCTGTATGGCGAAACAAAGATGCAATCTTTCCTGGGCTAGAATGAGGGCGATCACCTAATATCATTGAAAATTCAAAGATATCCCTGAATGTGAATTTACAGAAATAGTGCTTCTCAAAATTAGGCAAGAGTCTATAGTGGAATTATTTTGATAATGATCCATAAAGTACCTACATTTTGTTGATGAGTGAATATCATTTATTCATTTTGTTATTTCAGTGGCATTTCTTGTTTTCCAGAAAACTCCAGTAACTATCTCTACACCTGATTCGATTATCCAAGTTATCCCCCCAGACAATACTATAATTTCACAAGAAGAATTGGTGAATAAATCATTGAATGAGGAGAATCAGGAATTCTTTGAGACCCATTCGACACTAATAGAAGAGGGAGATTTCCAAAAAGCATCAGATGAGATAAAAATTCTACCAGTTCCGGTTGTAGGCGAAAACTCGTGCACGAAAAGTGAGAACAGCACTGAATGTGATAGAGACATCGAGTCACAAAGTTCACTCGAAGATAACCCCAATAGTCGGCTTGAGAATCCTGAGTCCACAGAACAGTCTATTTCAACCATTGCCGTTTCATCGCCTCCCAATAAAGTTCAGATAGAGAATCGCTCTTCATCAATTCCATCTCCGCCCCATTCGACGCTGAAAGGAGTTGAAGGTCTCCAGGAAACCTCAAGTGGAATCATAGAAGAAAACTCATGCATAACAAATGGAACGGTTTCAAGTGACATTGTAGAAGAAAACCCGTGCATCAGAAGTGACGAAAGTACAAGATTACCCCCTCCCGAATGCGATAGTGAAATAGAGATTCAGAGTGTCGACATTCATTCCAACGGTCAGCTTGAGAGTTCTGAGTTCACAGATATACCTGCTCCCACCTCTGACATTGCATCACCTCCTAATGAAGAGGAGGTAGATATTGGCAAATCATCAAACTCTCATAGGACAGTAACTACTAAGGGTGCTGTTGATGTTATTCCAATCCTGGAATCTCAGGATAGCTTAGCTTTTACTGTTACCTGTGGTGACACGGACATACTCAAATCCGTGAGTATTACATTTTTTTTTTCAGTACAGTTATTTGATAATGGATAGATATTGAATGGTGAAATTTTTTGATAAACTGAATATTATTATTAATTGATTCGAAAGTTACTGAGGTGCTTTGGGGAAAGCAGAAAACTCAAAATACAAAGAAAAAAATCCAAAATACCACAAATTTATTTAGAAATGTCTACAAATACATCCTCAGTAGATATGAGAACTAGAAATAAGCATGTAAAAATCTTCACATGATTAAATATTTTGTAAATCTTATCATTAGTGAAGATTCTCACATTTCCATCAACTAACGGCCGAGTCAATACAAATAAAGAATATGAATTATTAGGTGACTTTTCTTGGTATCTCATCTAGATAGTATTCCATATCACTTTATTAAGTTCCAGTGATATTTTCAATCATAACTAGCTTCATGTCAATTTCTTCCAATGACATGACATTTTCAGAAAATGGCTGACCTCAGTGAGGATCTAGCAAAACAGCAACAAGAGAATTCAGAACTGCGGCTTCAGTTGAACGCCTTGCAGCAAGCGAGGGCTTCCCTGGAATTGGAAGTTCGCCAGAAAGAAGAAATAATTATAAAGAGCCAAGCTGAGGCTTTGAAAACGGAACAGAAATACAAACAAGAAATTAAGATTTTGAAAGAAAAAGTGAAAGAAAACAGTTCATTGATTGAAAAAGATGGTACAAAGCATTTGCAAGAACAGCTGAAAGAGGCTCAGATGAAAGAAGCCAAGTCCTCTGCTGATCTGCAAGCCAGAATTAAAGTTGATGAACAATATGCGTAAGTACATTTTGTTCCTGAAACTTTGCTGAATATCAATAGAGTATTCAACTTTTGTGGGGCCTTCGCAAAATATAATTTAGATTTTCATGTTAACTAATTTTATTTCAATCCCATTACAAGGCAACACTGTCCCTAGTTGATTACCCACGTGCCTTAAAGCTGTAACAGCGGAACAGCATTCTGTTTTTGTACCATTTAACATGAGCCAATATGAAACCAAAGGCAATATGTGATCCAAGGGAAGATCGTGGAGACCTCTCCATTAAGCGTGAGTTTCCTATGTTGGCATAAGTTTGCAACAACGCATTTTCTCAAACAACCACCATGGTTCTATTATGTGTCTATATGGTCATAACTATCATCCTACTGTTGAACAATTTGAAGAAACTGGTATCTTAGGTTCTTGGGAATGCTTCCATTGGCATTGAATTCCAAAGATTCGCCGTCGTATAGACGAACGAGTTTTGGTGGAGTGTTTGTCGTCTGACTGATATTGCTAGTGATGGAATTATAGCAGATATTTCTGAGGAACATTTCCCGTGGAAGTATCTATAGAAAAGTGCAATGTCGCCGACTTTTCTAAGATTGTCTAATGGGGTCAAAAAGTTAGTGAGTGTGGCATCACCCACCAGGCGAATGGCTCTTCTCTGGATGAAATCTAAGAGCATCAGCGTATGTTTGGATGCTGAATCCCATACATGAGAAAAGCATTCTAAAACTGGCCGTATCTGTGCTTTGTAGATCATGAGAACCTGTTAAGGTGTAAAGTAGATTTTCGCACAAAACAAGAAACCGAGTTTTAATGCAGCTTTTGCGATGGATCGACCATGATTTTTCCATGAGAGAGTATTGCTGATGGTAATACCGAGCATAGATATAGTGGTCCTGGTGGGAATGACGGTACCAGACATTGCTATATCAGGCATACTGAGTTCCGCCTTGCGTTTTGGTGGCGTTGAATTCAACTAGGTTGTTGGTTCCCCAGGCTATAATTTCCGCAAGATCTTCATTGACAGCGTTGGCCTGCCTTAGTCGCAAGTTCTTAGTTTCCTGGGAAGAAATGGGAATTCTAGAAGAGAACGCAGTATGGAGAGTACTATCGTCTGCAAAGCTGTCGATAGGGCAAGTGGAACGCCGAAATTAATGACAGTGGTATCAGACGATACTCCGTCCACCACCACATGGAGCGATCTGCCGATAAAAGATTGCATAGCTGAGGTGGTAATCTGTATGGTGGTGGTTTGTGGAGCAGTCCTTGGTGCCAAACACGAATGCCTTCGATATATCTCTACAGTTAGAGATTCCCCATGTTTTTTCAATGAAGTTTGCCATATATGGTTGACGTAGGCAAGTAAATCTCCAGTTGATCTTTGGTGGCGAATAGAGGCAGAGATTTCCCTTGTGAACGTGAAGTGTGATCAGGACAGAGCATATAGTTCGTATTCGTGGATGAATTGACTTGTGTCCCACTCAGGGCCAATATGCTGGCTTTTCAGTTTGAAGGTGTCGATGGACATCGTTGATGTTCTTCGTTAGACCACGGATGTTACATAGGTCTATCTTGAGGAGTTTTTCAATCGATGGGGAACCCCCTCTAGCTCCTCTTGCCCGGAAATCCGAATGGAAAGGTATTTTACTTCCGGATAATTTTACTTGAGGAGAACTTGATCATTGTTTTTTCTGTATGGAAAAGGAAGGTTGGCGTGGAAGGAAAAGGAAATTGGATTGGGTTGGGTTGGCCCTAATCATCAACCAGCTACTGAAACATGGGTAAGTATACCCATTTCACAGTGTCTATGGTTGATGTGGTGGTATCGCATCGGGCGATGGTGTTAGCCATCTTCCACCTATCGACCACGGACTGTTCTCCAGTTCGATTTCGTGAGTGGCATAGCTTCTTTCATGTATGACATAAGCGTTCTAGATAGTAGTTTATGTCAGTGGGATTGATAGATGCTTAATTTATAGTGATGCGAACATAGGAAACTTAGTTAGGTTCAAATTGCATTTTGTACATTCGCCGTGGTATAATTCTATTCTATTTCACGAACAATTAACAAGAGGAAACAAGTCACATGCAACATTATTTAGCTAAACAAATCAGAATTCTCAAATTTCACTGTGGTAATTATCATTAGCTTTGGAAACTATTATTCCTATCTTTTCTCTATATAATTAATGAAAGTCATGTTTCTTTGGTACTTGGGTGAGAACTGTTGCCGAGTCACCAACGGACACGAACCGAATGTTTTGTCAGAAGAGGCGAAATTAAATCCAATTCTGATGATGGGCTGGTATTTTATTTTGAAATGGTTAATATAATCAATCATCTCTTACATCTTACCATCAAAGGAAATGTATACTAATTTTTCGATTTTCATTCATCTATTTTTGTATAAGTTTTCTTCTTGTTTTATATTTTATCTCTTTCCAAAATCATTTGTTTTTCGTAACTTTATATTTTGATTCTAGGAGAAAGATGGAAGAATTTGATAGAACGCTGAAGCAACGTGCAGACGAATATGAAAAACTGAAAGAAAAATTTGAGGTCAATAAGAAACATCTCGCCAATCTCGAACTAGCTTTTTCTGATGTGCACTCGTGAGTTGGGAACGTTTTGTTTTGTGCTTCACGTTGTCGATTTTGCTTTACAGAAAATATGAGAAATCCAAGGAGAGTCTTCAAGCATCTCTCCTCAATGAGGAAGCATTAATTATCAAGATGGACTTGGCGCAGTCCACCAATAATCAACATGAGGAGAGATACGAATCTTTAAGGCAGCATGCCAGAAACCAAATAGACAAGTTAGTATTTTTTGATTTCTCATCAGTTTCAGGTCGAAAACATGTCTTTCTAGTTTTTGAGCTACTGGATACTTCATCAAATTGATATAAATTTCAAGAAATTACCATATTTGGTATTCCTAATGTTGATTTGTGGGTTGTCACGCCTCACATCTATTGATCTGTAATAATTCATAGACTTCTAATTTTCTTTGGGATTCATATTATAAACGCAAACTATCTTGACCACTGTTCCAAAATCCAAACATGCTAATGCCATGAGAATGGTCTTTTCTCTCTTTTATGTTAACCTGAATGTTTTGTAGTCCCATATCATTAGGAGTGCGTTCGTCTTGCTCACTATGTGACTGCTTGCGTAAACGCTTTCATACCACGCTTTTTACTGTTCGCCTTGTCTTTGATGTGATAGGTGTTGGTCACAAGATGAACATTCCAAAGCAAATAGCAATGTCATTTGTCATATCGAATATTCAAAATAAATGGAGAGGGTTGTTGCTAGTTACCTATTTGGTTCTAAAAGGAATAAATCACTACCTCTCAAAAATTATCTGGAAAATATTACTGTTGTTGACTTTGTTCTAGAATGTCTCCTTTGACCTTTAACTAATTTCTAATTAGATTTAATATACTCAAAGTTGGTAAGAAAGAAGCCTGGCTACCTGACAATTTTGCCAAAAAAAAACTTCTTATTGCAAGATGGCAACTCTTGATTTATGTACCCTATGATGATACTACCCAGTACTCACATCATCAACTTTGAACAATACCATTTTGCTATTCATCAATGTTAATTGATTTAATTTTATCCAATATATTGATATTCCGTATTGACGTTTGTCAACGATCTTGCTTTCACTGCTCTATCTATATGAAAATAGCATTGTAAACGTGATCAATGATGTATTCGCTATCAGTTATGGCGTCATTATTCAAGCAAAAGCGCAAAATCTTTTCAGAGCGACAAATCGAACGGCAAAAGCAACACTGTTAGCGATTTGAGCATGAAAAGCCAGCAAGACGAACACACTCCAGATCTTTGGGATACCAAAAGTTTCATCATCTCAAACCTATTTTTATTGAGTACGGCATACTTGGGTGTACTATTAATGCACGTCGCAGTTGCTTATTGGTAGAAAAAAAACTGATCATCATGAATTGAATGTACATTTTTATTATTGCACTTATTCTGCAGGTCAAACAAAGAACTTTTGACGCAAAGAGAGCGTTATGAGAGCGAAGTGTTGAAACTAAAAGCGATTATAAAACGTCTTGAAATCAAATGCAGCTCCCTGGAAAGCAATATGCAGCAAAAGATCAATGAGTGCGCGCAGTTGGCGGCTCTTTGCGATGAGGTGACAGGAAAGAAAGTCTAATTTACTTTGTCTTAAAATAACATGCCGTAAAGTTAGACATTTTTATCTTATATGATTGATCTCTGGTGGAAGTCCAAATTAGCTCAGAGTGGAGTGAGATATCTGAAGGCAAGAAGGAACGCCCAAAGTATTTGGGAGTTCCATCTTACCTTTTATATGAATGATTTCATGGCACATTGTTTTAGGATACTTGTATGATATAAACTTCGTACTACGTGATTTTCATATATATGTTCAAATTGTTGAATTTTTATTTGTGCTCTGTCAAATGTATCTTTTCATAATATGGTTTTTCAATGCACTGGTGTGAAGCAATGAATGCAGAAATTCATTATTTATTATTCTTCTGTGGCCTCCTCAGTAAGAAAAATGCATTTTATTCTGAAACTGAATGGTTAAATGGATATGAATAATAGGTATACATTGTTATTTCAAAATCTTCTTACGCTCTTGTTATTTGGGTATTTGATCAATTATGGATTTTTCAAATCCTGGCGTTGGTTGTACATTAGTGCATTGAGGAAAAGTATTTTGTTTTGATTTCGTTATTTTTCGTTCATAGTATTTAGCATTCAAATGAATGAGTTAACTGTCCTACAGAAATGTATATTATTATGTAAGATCTTGAGCCTTTGAAATGGCATGAAGTAAAAGTGTGAAATATCCGTTGTCACGAATTTCCATGTGGACATTTCCATTTTTATTTAATGATACTGTGATAAGATATTCCAAAATAAATATACTTTGGAAAATCTTCGAGGGTTTACAGTACAGGATGTCCACGAATGTTTTGCAGGTGCTTCTCTTCCAATTAATTGAATTCGATATATTTTTCAGTGAATGGTCACAAAAAACGCATAAACTGATTTTTGGATTCAGGTGTCACCACATAGATAATCATTGTTTTATCAATATTGACCATGCAATAATTTTAGTTCAGCTAAAAATTTGGGAAAATAACATGTTTTTTTTTTCGCATTTCACTGATCAACAATAAAGTTACAAAATTTGGGGACCCTGTAGTACCTATGGTTTCAAGAAATGCATTGAAAAATTTTGTGAAAGAACGTCCTGGGACACCCTTTGGTTGTAATCTTTATGAGAATTATTTATTTCTTTTAGATGTCTAACAAAGAATAGTAGCTAGTTGAATATTTATTTATATTTTTGGTAACTGATAGTTATTAATAAACTTCTTTTAAAAACTGATGTATCAAAGTGATGAGTTTACTCAAAGTCCATGTCTATAACTAACTCTTAATACAGTTTGTTCTGTTTATAATGAAATGTTAATATGCTTGATAACTTGATAATTATACTTGATATGTAAATTCACCGGACACCTAAATACTGGTTATAATAAAAATGAAACAATTATAGATCTTTTTTACGTATTAGTTACCATATTCATGAACAATATCAGAGTGTTTCCAAAGGTCGTCAGAATGAAGCATTTCAACAAAAATCTCATATATTTCACGGAGGTATTAACAGTTATTATTTCATCAATTGTTATTATAGATCCTATCTGGTGCCCTATTTTTGAATCGAGGGAATGCTGGGTTCAAAATGTCCACAATGTCACTTTCCAATGTTTTTCTAGGTTGATTATGAGAGAATGTGGAACGGAGTTCCTGTTTCTCTTGCTATATCTATCGAGAGAAGCAGCTGAAAACAAAATAATTTGTTTCTTAACCCTTTGAGTCCGGAATTAGTGTTTTTTGAGATTTTATTTTCTGAAAATATTTTATAAGACCAGAAACATCATAAAAACAATGAGGAATATAAGAAAAAATCTGAATCGTCCATTTTTTTTTTCAAAAAAAGTGGTTGCCCCAAGTGACCAGGTGGTTGCCGCAAGTGACCAGAATGACTACGTATACTCATTAGATGCCAAAAGCTACTGACGCCATCGTTAGTAAGTTGAAACAATGCCGCAGTTATCAATTCAGTTCATAGGTGGCTGTGTTAGTATCGTGTATAAACGGTGGTTATGCTACAGAACCACTAGTAGAGCGCCGATGAATTATTTGTTATGTGGTTATCTGGCATGACCAGTAGGACGCAAAAGGTTAAGTGAGCGACACGCCCACCTTTATGGACTAGCATCCTCAATTCAAAAATATGGTCCCTGATCGTTTTCGGTCCTATTTAATACGACTCACTAGTTGAAATGAAATCATTTTTCTAAATTGTTTCATGTGAATTTGTTGAACAATGGCGAACGTTTACGACGATAATGAATTTGATGGCATATTTTTGGCTTACAGTTAATAAGCAAAGTGCGGCCGCATCGTGACGATTATAAAAACGAACGGTGATAACTTTGATAATTTTTTGTGATCGACCTTTAAACAGGATCACTTCCATCATTGAGTTTTTGGACCTTGTTATTTTATAACTTACATGATTGAAATGGTTCATTTTAGTAAGTTATATCCTGCTGAAGAATATGCCTTACCTGTCTATGAAAACACCCTGTACACGGTAAATGCCTTCACAGTACTTTTATCAGGGAGGAAGGAAATCCCTTCTGCATAAGAAAGGAGACTACTTTTTTAAACAAAGTAATATTATACCTGCCCTGAATTAACCCTCCTTATAAAAATTATATTTATCGGAAAATTTCTTGAGAAAGCAGAATAAAAAAGCTGTCCCTCACAGGCATTGAACCCGGGTCGGCTTGCCTGCATAGCACTGGAATACTCAGGCATAACTATGCCATGCACATATCAACAGTTAGCATTTTGGGTTTATTAGGTATGGGTTGCCGCCTATGAAGTTGTCAATTTGTCAAATGTCTATCAAATTCCTGCCATTTCAAAAGTTCCTTATTGGAATTTGAATTCTGGCAATGAGTATCAAGCTATAAAAATACCTATCCAAGAAATAAAGTTGATTAAAAACAATTTATTGAAGAAAAACTACTCCCCAAAAAGCTTAGTTCAGTGATCGGACTATTTCAATAATAATAGGTCTTCATTTGACATATTGATAGCTTCCTCATATTCAATCAAGGTACCTATAATTTTTCTGTTCAAGGTTCCAAATTCTGTTTTCACAAGATTAAACCTTCAATAACAATAATCCTGTGCTTCCATAATATTTAGGGTGGTTCTGATAGCAAATTTGATTCATTGTTAATGGCAGGATCACCAATTTCTCCAGCTGAATCCTAAGGATCCCATGACTCAGATGTTGTGTTTACTGTACATGTCTGGGCAGGAATAATTTTCTTATTGGGAAACAATTCATGGGCAACGTTGCCACAACTACTGGAGTCTGCCACATGTGGCAAAGGACTATCCCTTTGAGTTCCTATTGCCATAACTTCAGATTAAGAGGAGAGATTCAACCAAATCGACATGCAGGCCTTCACTAGATGTTGCTATATGGGCTTATGAATGATTCAATTGAAAAACTGATTAAATCATCGTAAAGAAGAAGGTTGGGGCTAGGGCCTGGTTATCATACGGAGTCGAAACTCATTTATTTATAGAAGATACAGATTTTTGAAAAACGTAAACATTGAAATTTTTTTGTCTCAAATTGAAATATTTTCGATCTCAGTACAATTGTTGGAAATTCGGCAAGGTGTCACTGGAATATCAGCTCTTGAAATGTTTCCATTCGGACAGGAAGCAACAAAAACGATTATTCTGTCAACAAAATATCCATTCATCCCAGCTGATCTCGGTAAACTCCATTTCTTGAAAGAATGTAATGCAGGAAACTAGGATGTGGTAGTTCAGGCACTACCTGATAGATGGCAGTGTTCGAAATGACAGACTGCGGCAGAGAGGAATGGTGCATTGTATTGCAAGCAGATGGCGCTTAGGAGAGATGATGAATTCAAACCCGTTTACACCGTTGCCAATGTTATACATATTACTCGGACATATTATGAAATCTAGGCGACGTGATAATACAGAGGGTATTATTCAATTATCTGGGCATATTTCAAGGGGAGGTTCTCCGAGTGTTTGTAAGACGAACAAATCTAATATATAAAATTCTCCTGTCACGGTCACGGTCATAGTGGTCGAACTCCTCCGAAACGGCTCGACCGATTCGTATGAAATTTTTTGTGCGTATTCGGTAGGTATGAGAATCGGTCGTAATCTATTTTTTAAATAGAAAATACAAAATGGCGGATCCAATATGGCGACCGAGTATAGTTATCCGATTTCATTCAAAATTGGTATCTGGTGGTTTTCGAGGTCAGGGATTATGATTTTTTATCAAAATTAGGAAATTCGAAATGGCGGATCCAATATGGCGGACGAGTTTTGTAATTATGGTCAGATTCTATTCAAAATTGGTATCTGGAGGTTTCAGAGGTCGTAGATAATTATGAATCATTTGTCAAAATGGGGAAATTCAAAATGGTGGATCCAATATGGTGGAAGAGTTTTTTAATTATTATGATCAGATTCTATGTAAAATTGGTATCGGGGGGTTTTCGGAGTCGAAAATAATGATCCTTTCATCAAAATTTGGAAATCCAAGATGGCAGATTCAATATGGCTGACGAGTTTTGTAACTTAATCCGATTCCATTCCAAATTTGTATATGGGGGATTTTGGGATGGGAGATTATGATTGTTCATCAAAATAAGGAAATTGAAGATGGAGGATGGCAACTGAGTTTTGTAGTTATGATCCGATTCTATTCAAAATTTGTATCTGGGTGTTTTCGGGGTCGGAGAAGAATTAGAAAACAAATGAATATAAGTATGTTGATAAATATTTAACTAAAAAAATATTTTCTGGAAATAATTGTATATAGCAGAACAACGTTTGCCGGGTATCCAGCTATTGTTAATAAATATTAGTTTGAAAAACTAATGAAACACCTTTTTATAGATAGCCATACTAAAAAGAAGTGAGTAGAAAATGAAGAGTAGTTTGAAGAAATGAAGAGGTATAGAGAACCGAACTAAAAAGAACTAGAAAATAAATAGAGTAGTTTGAAACGGCCTAGAATTTGTCACTGAATTATAATTATATAAGTAGACCTGAAAATTTAAACATACAAATTCAGCAGAATTTCTTCAATTCTATTCATGAGATCGATAATTATGTCAGCATATAGATGGAAATAATAGGAATGGCACAGTTGTGGAACAAACTTCAAAAAGCTTTGTTAATCTGTGTCAAAAGTTCAGGTTATTTCACTCTAAAACTCATGCAAAAACATTCGTCTCAGAACTCTCAGAGTACAGTTCTCAGATTTTGGATCCATTGATATGGCGATATTCACAAAGGATAATACCGCCACGGCAACAAAACAAAACTGAGCGAGAAATCGTTATATGTCTCTCTCCCTCCCGCGGCGAACCGGAGGGATATTCATTGGTCGCGCGGTGATTCCCCGTCTTTCCGCAGTCCGCCTAGTCCGCCACGTGCCACTTGGAATTGCGTGAACTTCAGATGAACTTCAAACTAACCGGCATATAATCAATAATTGAAAAGCCAGTGTTGCAAGCTGCTGCAAATGATATGTCGCAAAAATTCATAAGAATGGGCAGAAAAGCGAGGCAACAGGAAAGTCAGCCACATAAGAAATATTTGAAAATATAGCAGCCGCTTTTTTTTTTCGAGACATTTGGAGACGTTATCGAATATCCAGTTCATGTTTTAGAGAATTATCGTAGGTAGATACTTCATATTCCACTTACATCTTCTTTGGGGAAGATTTTTGAAATTCAATGAATTCCGAGATATTAAAATTTTCTTTGAAATATATACAGGGTTATTCATTCAAAATGGTCAATGTGTGAGCTAGAAATAGTAAACATCAGAATATCAAGATTAAGCCTCACATCTCACATCTCACATAGAAAATGCTGTTAGTTTTGGAGAAACAGGGTGTACAAGGAAAATATTTTATTTTGAAATTCCTCATACAATAACTTTGTAAGTTTTAAATCAGCATGAAAATGGTCAATGTGTGAGCTAGAAATAGTAAACATCAGAATATCAAGATGCAGCCTCACATCTCTCATAGAAAATGTTGTTAGTTTTGGAGAAACAGGTTGTTCAAGAAAAATATTTCATTTTAAAATTCCTCATACAATAACTTTGTGAGTTTTATATCAGCATTAACATAATTTTCTTATATTTTTTTCATTATAATTCGATTTTTAAATGATTTAAAAAAAGTTGACCATTAAAACAAAATGGATTGTGAGATATAGAAAGCATATGATGGCAAATCAATTTCTCACCGTTATGTTGAAGACCGAAACCAGGGAATCCTGGAAACTTTGGTACGATATAATCACACTCACACTATACACTGTTTTATCACTATCAAACAGAATTTTTATCAACTCGACAAACTTTATTACCTAAAAAAATTCGCTGTCTAAGATAGAC